GGCTGCAAATCTTTCAGACGCAGCCAGCAGCAAGAGCAGCTTGTATTGATGTAAGCCGTTTTGCCTGTTTACGTCATTCTCCAGACCATGGATTGGGACTGCCATTTCACCTGGTATCCTCATTTTTATTCAATGTGAGCTCCATTTTGCCTACATGCATGCATGTCAGCTAGTTTCCTTTGCACTCTTACTCACTGTTGCTACACATCATAGCAATCCTTTGATAATATGGACTCCCACTGCTTACAGTGACCGGACCCTTTCTGCTCTGCAGTACTTGATGTGATTTACCCTTTTGGAATATGCCTCCCCTACACATGGTAGATCATAGGCACAAGGGGAATGGGTCTGGGGAAGTCTGTAACATCTCCTTACTAATTCTATTAGCCCTGACCGCTGTCCTCAATCTGAGTCAATGTTCTCTTCAGAGGCCTCCTTAGCACCTTCTGAAACACCCCCATCTTCCAGTTTATCTAGAGAGGAGTTCTCTAGTCCCAGGAAATCTCAGACACTTTGTTCCAAACTATTGTGTCCTGAAGCTACAAAGTAGAGTTTCAGTCTCTGCCTCCACCCCACTTCATGCTGCTAAATTTGCCACCCACTCCGCAAAGGAGGTGGATCTCCATTCTGCACACCAGAACCTACTCTCTCAGGAAATCATTGTCCCTCTCCTAAGGAAGGAAAGGTTCCAGGGTTTCTACTCAAACCTATTCAGTGTCACCAAGGCAAATGGAAGCATTATGTATATTGAAATTCTCAACAGATTTTTTTCACATTCAAAAATTCCACATGGAATCTGCCTAGTCAGTCATTGCTTCCCTTGAAACAGGGTATCTTCTGACCTCATCATAAAGAATGCCCACTTGCCCATCCCTATTTTCCCACCATATCAGTGCTATCTGCATTTGCCGTGGGCACACAACAATTTGTTGCTCTTCACTTTGGTCTGTCTATGATATCCTATGTCTTCATTAAGGTGTATCCCCATCATTGGATACCTGGATGATCTCTTGCTGAAGGAACAATACATCTAGTCAATGTCCAACGGACAGTGCAGACCATGCAGAGATTCAGATGGATCTTTTATCTCCACAGATCATCACTGGATCCAACTCATCTATTAGAGTCTCTGGGCCTCATTTGGATACAGCCTATTCTGGGTCTTCCATCCACAGAGAAGCTCCTATCTCTCCACTCCCATGTTTGGGTCCTACGGTCCCAGAGCCACCCTACTATTTGCCTTTGTATAAAAGTTCTGCGAGGCACTACTGTATGCCCAGTTTCACTTTAGACCGTTGCAGCTCAACATTCTGGCAACGTGGAACAAGCAGACAGGGTTTCAGGATTGCCATATACGTATGTCCAGCAAAACCAGGCTTACACTGGCATGGTGTATTTCCAATCCAGTACTGGAATTGGGGATCTTTTTATCTGGACACCCTCTTAGAGCAGAGGGCTCAATCATTGAGGAAGCTTGAGTTCCAATCAATATCCTGGAACTCAAGGCAATCTTGTTCTCCTTTCTATGCTGGACCTCTCGACTGCAGTGTCACCCCAACCCAGATTCAGTCAGACAATGTCATGGAAATTGCCTACATCAACCGTCCGGGAGGCTCCAGTAGGTGCACATAGCTCAAAAGAAAAAAGGTTCTGGCTTGGGCAGAATTCTGCATTTTGGCCTCAACCACCATGCATATGTCTAACATGCAAAATTGTCAGGGGGACTTCTCAGTCATCAATATCTGGATTCTGGAGAACTGTCTCTCCACCCACAGGTGTTTCAAGCTCTCTTTTGAAGGTGGAAACTCTGAATGTGGACCTCCTGTGTCCATGTTCAGCAACATTCTGGGCAGGTACATTGCCAGGGTCAGGGATCCCTGGGCCTTCACAGTGGATGCTCTGGTAATTCAGCCTGATTTACAGCGTTCCCCCTCTGAAGCTCTGTCCTTGTCCAGGTGGATGAAGGGTACTGGTCCAGGAGGACATTGTATTCGAGCATTCAGAGACTCCTAGCAGACTTTCAGTGAGCCCTCCTGGATTAACCAGATCTTCTGACCCAGGGGCCATTCTGCTTTCTGGTCACTGGCTTTAACAGCTTTGCTGTTGAAGCCCAGGTCCTGAGCGACAGGGGCCTAGCTAAGGTAAACAGTGGAATATCCCTGATGGGTTGCATGGCTTGCCCGGGGGAAGGGAGACCCTGGAATAGGCTAGATTTGGTCATATCTACACCTTTGAAGGCTAGGATTTTCGTGAAGTCTACCATTTCACCTAGAAGGCCTACTTTGCTTTGAGTAGGCTTGGAAGTTCCAGCCAAGCAAGTGCTCCATAGGGTGAATCTTTTTTTTTTTCTCAATCTGGTCTGCATCAGCATTTGGCCTTCAGTACTATCAAGGGTGAAATCTCTGCTCTAGCAATTTTTTGCTCACATTGCTCTACCTGTACACTTCCAACTGACACCATGGGATCTCAACTGGGTTCTGTCGGCCCTTCAGAAGCTACCCTTTGAACCTATCAGGGATATTCCCGTCAATCCTGACTGACAAGCTTGCCTTCCTCATTGTTATCACCTCTGCAAGCTGAGTCTGAGTTTGCAGCCTTATCTTCTAAAGAGCCCTTCCTTATGTTACAAAGGCATAAAGTTGTCTTGAAGCCTAAGGCCTTCTTTCTTCCCAAAGTGGTTTCCTCCTTCCACCTTAGTCAGGGCATTGTTCTTTCCTCTCTCTGTCCTGCTTCAAAACATTATATGGACATTTCTTTACACTGTTTGGATGTGGTATGCACTGTGAAAGTCTATCTCTCAGCTACAGATTCTTTTAAATAGTTGGATTTATTCGTTGTCACTCCTGAAGGTCCCCGTAGGGTCCATCCTGATTTGTGTAATCCACCTGGCAATAGTGGAACAATAGTTCCACTATTGCCAGGTGGATTACACAAATCATCATTCAAGTCTATAGTCTAAAGAATAAGGTTATAACCTTCTCTATAAAGGCACACTCACCCTGATTGGTTAGTGCTTCATGGGCTTTTCAGTACCAGACATCTGTTTCCCACATTTGCAAAGCTGCCACCTAAGTTTTGCCAGGTTGAGGCCTCATCTTCGGGTGTAAGGTGCTGCAAGCTGCTCTATGAGCTTATCAAGCCCTCTTTTAACCTGTTGTTATGTGGGCCTGTTAGTGTTTTTTTTTTTTTTTTGCAGTGTTGCCCACCCCTCAGTTGTATTGCTTTGGGAGATTTTATGCTCTAACACTATGATCTTGTGTCTGGGACTGAATGATTAGGAAAATAGGATTTTTTCAAATTTAGTTGTAAAATCTTTTTTTTGGAGTACCCTTACAGGACACAGGTCCCTCCCCTCTGTTCTTATGATTTACGCCAGCTTTAGCTTTCAGAATGGCCAAGTAATCTATTAAGTTGCCTAATATTGTATAGACGTGGCTGCCCAGTGTATTAATAACACAGTCTTGCTTAAAAAAATACAGTTTTTTTCTGAAATCAAGAAATGCTTCAAAAATTCACATTATAATTCACATTCACAGAGAAATATCAAGAAAGGTGTGTTTTTTAATTAGACCATAGCTGATACTCGGAGGATTCTATTCTTTATCCGTTTGTTTCTTTATGCAAAGAAGCTTCACTGACTGAAGAATGTCAACAGCAGGCAGAGAACAACTATTAATGAACAATTGTTGAATACTTAATTTCCCCAAACATTTAATTCTGTACTTTTTGGTAGTATAATGTGTTATTACATCTAATCACACTAATCTGCTTTGATGCTCATTACCAGAAAAGTTTCATTGGAAGCTTAATCAAGCAATTTTGCAAACAGGTGCTCGTTTATTCATACAGTTCTGTTTCCCTGTTTTATTTTAGGGAATTGGGGAATGTTTGTGGAAAAAAATTTAAATTGCCCATTATACCATGCCCAGCAGCTTTCGGCCCGAAAATCAATATCTCTACAGTCTGCGACTTCCCCAGGGACAGCAGTGGGAGGGCATGAAACTTACTTGGGGGGGGAGACAGGTTGCTTACATTTCTGATACATATGAAAAAAAGCATCTACAACATCCATTTACTGTAGATGTACCTAATCCTTGTTCATCCCAGAAGGCCAAGAGGTAATCCCTTCCAAGGGTACATAGTCTTTAACGGAAATTCCTGCCTTTGGAGGCTCATCACTTGAAGCATCCCTGTTTTGATATTCTTGATCATAAATATGCTGTTTATGATGAATGAATAAAACCCACGCCAAGTCATTTTTTACATCTTCTTTCCGTTCGGAAATTTTACTTCTTGCCCCAGAGATGCAACAGGAAATGAGAGGAAATCTACCAAAGTGAAGAGATTACCTCTCTTAGACAGTTGTTCCCAGAACAAAAGCTCTTATTGGATGATTTCCCTTTACCTTTTGTTCTGGGTCCAACTTTTTTGATTTTCCCTTTTCACTGATAGTGGTCACCAGTACAGAGGTGTGATTCTCCCCAATGGTACACAGACAGCATTAAAACTTGATAAATGGTCTAACCCTTCCCCACTCTATCCACAAAAAAAGTTTGCCTACAGATACACTTTTGGATGTTACTATTTAGTCATGTTATCTGAGCATTTTAGGTTTCAAAGAACTTATATACAAAAACATTGTAACATTTTATATGGACACATTAATATAGTATGATATAGGCAGAAGCATTTGTATCTTAAAAGATGTTAGGAGTGAATATGCCTTTATCAACCATTACTGAAAAAATCTGAACTGGTGCATACATTGAGGATTCCAGGACAGCTCACATGGACCGACCGCAGGAACCTAGGAAAAAATTGCAACAAAAGATTACAAGCAATTCAAGCAAACTTGCTTGAATTAGGTAGCTGTTCTAAAGAAGCTATAGTTTGCTAAAAAAAAAATCTATTTAACTTCATTTGTAAACTTGGCATCCCTTTCTCGAAAAATGGACAGCGGAAAAAATTAATTCATTCATTTTGTCTTTTATTTCCTGCAGATACATTTACATTCCGATGGGCGGGTCACAAAGTGGGACAGAAAGAATGCTGCTCTCTACCGCCTTGACTTTTATATTTGTGTGCTATTGGCATGGAAACCATGAATACCTCTGGTATTGGGCAGCACTCAACTGGATTGGAATTATCACAGAACATGGAGTGAAGAAGCTCCTGTCTATTCCTTTCATTCAAGAAAGAATTGTAAGTATTGAAATATATTAAAATTACTAACATATTAAAAAGACTGTTAAAATGGCCAGAAAGTAATATTTGTAATTATGTCTGTATGAATCTTTTTCTGTCAATATTACAGCCAATATTACATTAAATCCTCAGCAACCCAATCTTTAATCATAACTATTCATTAGAGAATGTGTTTTCTTTTTATTAAAACACATGTTTAGAAAATGCATATAACTGAACACTGCTTATCCTAAGTTGGAATTCAAATCATTTTGCAAAGAATGGATAAGGGTTAAAACCAGTGTTAGGTTTTGTATTGCCTGTCCCAGTTTTGACAGTTTCCCCTCATTTCCTGTCCTGGTGAAACCATCCTTCTAAAACAAATATTATTTGTATTGCTTTGTGAGTCCCCTGTGAGAAATGCCCCCATCTTGTATTGGTAACACCTGTTCTAGGAGCAGGAAGTGAGTGAAAATCTCACCAGAAGGGAAAAGCCAGCATGTAACAACTAGCACAAGTTCAGTGAAGCGCGCGTCTCACTGGCGGTATGATTTGTTTTTTTTTCTCTTATTTTCTCTATGTTTAAAAAAAAAAAATTTAACTTTAAAACTTTTTGCTGGTTCCGCCCCTCCGCCCTCCGCTCGCAAGGGACAGAACCCGGAAGTCGGCAGCCGCCGGAGGACACAGCGGGAATCGCGGACAAAGTAAGTCATACGCTGTATTCCCGAGTGTGGCTCGGGGTTAGCGCTTTGTTAACTCCGAACCACACTCGGGAATACCAATGGAAACGTGCGGAAAGAAGCTCCTGTACTTGTTTGGGCATAGGGTGTTTTTCAGCGCGTTTCTACGGGCTGAAATACGCCCAGGTGTGAACCATGCCCATAGGGAAGTATGGGATTTCACTGTTTGAGCTTTTTTCAGCGCTTCGATCAGAGCTGAAAAAGGCCCAGGTGTGAACCCAGCCTTAATCCTAACTCATTCTGACCAAAACCAAGAAAAAAAGTTCCACTGTAATTTCATTGCTGTTGTCTTGCCTAGGGGGTAAGAGCCAGGTTGTTAGACACAACATCCAGCCACTCTTCAATGTGAAATGCAAATAATGTATGCAAAAATCATTAGTCAGTCTCAACTTGCGCTTCATTTCCATGCAACAAATATAATCATTTAGTGAATTCTGGCAAAACTGAGGAAACATTACAGCTGTGATATTAGAAAAAAACACTCAATTTAACTCTAAAGGTGTCCTTTCAGATGGCAGCAAGCAGGTTATTGATGAAGCTGGGGTGCTAAATGGTACAGGAGAAGAGGGAGGTAACCAACCTGGCTAATGTTGTCTGGCAGGGGTGGCGGGATCACCAGACTGGCAGAATTATATATTCTTTGGCAGGAAAATCAGTTTACAGAAATTTGTATTAGCTATGTAGTTCCTGGAAGATGAGAATGCTGGAAGCCAGGTACAGAAATTAAATATTCAGGAGCAATGTTAAAGCCGCATAGCAGATAGCAAAAAGTTTTAGTTGAATGACATTGGTTTTTTCAATGGCTATAGTTTTCATGCCATGGCACAAGCAGTGAATCAGTGTAACATTACAATTCAGAATAACAGAGTTACTGGTTACAAGTAAAACATCTGTAATCTTTTTGTGTAACAATATCAGATGAATGTAATCATACTTGAGTGTCATATGTGAATATTTTTCTTTTTTTTTTTGGGGGGGGTGAGTGCTGCAGAAATAGGCATATAGGAAGTAGTTGGTGGTTAAGTTGGGGTAAGGGGTGGTTAGCAGTCCTGGGGTGGGTAAAAAGAGGGTGCCAGTTCCCCACACTGGCAGGGCAGGGGGTCAATAAACTAAGAACTGGGATTTTGTGGGAGGCAGATTTAGGTTTCTTGTGGACGGTGGAGTTAATGGGTCAGCCAGGAGAGTTGAGGTAAAGCCATTGGAGTGCTTTTATTGGACCCAGTAGAACCATGTTTTCCTATTGTTTGCAGCTTTGTCTATGTGAGATTTTCCATAAGCATGATAACTTTCACTCTGGAGAACCAATGGCTTAGGCTGTGGGGTATTTTGTGACCACTCACACGGGATGCAAATATGACTGCACTGTGTATATGGTCCAGTATTGATTTTCAGTATCTGGACTTAAGAATGAGGTACAGGATATATGAAGGATTGTTGTAGAGGGAAGTATCAGAGGATTGGATATGATCTGGGTGACTTGTGAACATAAATGGGTGCGTTTGTGGCAATCCCAGAAATTATGTAGCACTCAAGCCATTTTAAAAATGCATTTATTTTTTCTATTTAGTTTTATAACTTAGCTGTCTTTAGGACTTTTAATACCACAAGAAAGTGGAACAGAAACATTTAGTCTTCATTGTTATTATTCATGCTTCAAAGAATGTAAAACGTGAGTAAAATATGTGTTACTTGCAAAAGTATTAATGTGCTATAAAATATGCTGGTGTAATGAAATGAAGTAAATGCTCTGTACAAAATGCCCACAGCTAGTATGCTGTATTAGGAAAACATAAGTGGTGACCCCAGTGAAACACTTTAAGTTAATACTGTAGATAAAATATTTTTAAAGGAACATTTACTTTTAAAGATTCACTTCAGCCAAAATTGAGTCTTAAGGGCAAACCCCAGCTTCATCAAAAATTAAACTGCTTACGTTTTGTTATAATAAAAAAAAAAGCAACTTTAGCTCCAATACTCTCCTCTAGCGTTGTCCCCCTCGGACTGATCACACTGTCCTGCAGCTGACTCTTTCTTTAGGTGGAATGATGCCCAGCGTCATTCAACTCGGTACCTGTGAGCTTACGGCTTTACGGACCTACTTTGGAGAGATGTGTCGTCGGACCATGTCAAATTACAGGGGAAGGCCATCGCTGGAGGGGACCATAAGATGAAGAGAACCCCACATGTCACATTATGGGTGTGCATACAGGTATTTAAAATAAAAATCAGCACCGGGAGCTCTAAGGGGTGGGGCATTAAAGCGCCCAACCTGGAGGTCAGCTTTAATATCCATACATGGAGCACAGCCTCTCTGCTAAAATCTGTAGTTTTTCATGCAGGCATAGCTCTAGTCCACCAGTCCCCCCTACATTGTTGGTAATCTTAATTCCAATTATTATTTGTAAATTGTTTTGCTCTACTCTTTAATAAATAGCGTTCTGGTGTTTCAGGGCCTCCCAAGATACACAATTGAGTCAGAACAAAAAAAGGTTTGGCTTTAGTTCTCTTTTAAGGTCTTAAAAGTGTAATTAATAAAAAGCCTATTTTGAGTTTAAAGGAGAACTATGGGGTCAGTGTTTTTCCCCGTAGTTCTCCTTAGGGTAACGGGAGGACACAAACTAGTGTCCTCCCTTTACCCTAAGCTCAGTATACCGCGAGCTAGAGCTCGCGGTATACTGAGACGCCGCAGCCGGAGCGGATCCCGACTTAGACGTCGGGATCCGCCCAGCTGCGTGAGTGACAGCTGGCTCTGCCTATCTAGACGCAGAGCTAGCTGTACCGCCCCCTCCCCCGTCCGTTCCGCCAGTTCCCGGTATGTGTTCGCTCACCTCCCGATCTACTGAGCCGACCTGTGACAGTCTCATTGTCACAGGTCGGCTAGAACTATGAGGTGGTGAGCTCCACAAAGACATGGTTTGATGAGCTGGTGAGAAGGAACTCAAGTGGACTACACAAAGCCCTGGCCTCGACCCTACTGAACACCTTTGGAATGGATTTGGATTTGGATGGACTGCAAGTATTTTCAACCAACATCAGTACCTGACTTTGGTTTAATGGGCACAAACTCCCACAGACAAACTCTAGAGCCTTTCTAGAAGAGAAGAGACTGTGATATCCGCAAAGGGGATGCAGCTCTACTTTACTGCCATTGGTTCTGTAATTACATGTACAACAAGATAAGGTGTGATGGTCAGGTGTCTAAGTGTATAACCTAATAAGATGTGTTTTATTGCATGAAGAAATTACTTTCTCTAATGATCACTGAGGCTATTATAAATGTACATGCATCAGTGGGCATGCATGTGACCTCTGGAAAGGTTTCCCGAGATCTGAGTTTCTAGCTGGTGACGACAGCCTTATTACTCTGATCACATGACTGAATAGTAGGGATGCACCAATACTGATACTATTATCAGTATCTGTGCCGCTACCGAGTATTTGGGCGAGGACTCGTACTCGCCCAAATGCTCCGATACCTTCCCAGATACCGGAACTTCCAGTCAGAGAAGGATTTCCTCTGACCTGCAGTGCCGTAGGGGAACATGGAGCCAGCATCCCAGGCAATCAGGAAGCTAGGTGGCGAGTAATGACCTGCCTCCCGGCTTCCTGATTGGCTGGAAAGTTGGCTCCATGTTGATTGACTAGGAATTCGGCTTCCATGCCAATCAGCATGTAGCCGGCTTCACGTGCGATCAGGAAGCCGGCTCCGTGCTGGCGGATGCACTGGTATTCGTACTCGGTATCGGCGAGTACCAAAAGCAAAATATCGGTACTCGTAAAAAACGGTATTGGTGCATCCCTACTAAATAGTGTTGCCTAAATATGTCTTTGTATTTGAAATGCCCCTTAATGTAGAGAGATGGACTGCAAAAACAGTGCATTGGGCCAAATATTAAAAAAAGAAAATCAGAAAAAAAATAGTTAAGCCTCATATCCAGAATGATCCTAGTCACTCGGATGCAAACATTCCCCAGTGATTATGGTTAATCTGATATCAATTTTCATGCAGGTGTCTGTCCCATGTCAATGTCTCCCTAGGACTGAATTGTAATTAAAAGGATAAAGATGAATTGATCATCCTTCCCTATGTGCGCACACAGGATCACTGTTTGTCACCAAGGACATTTCGCCTGCTTCACGCTGCTCTGGCATCTGTTTCCATGGCTCTGCTTATCCTCACCAACCTGGTTTTCCTGGGTGGCGAACACGTTGGAAAGATCTACTGGGACAGACTGTTTGTACACAGTGAGTACCTTGTAAATTATATATTTTCAACGAAGCGGCAGACTGTTTAATGTTTTCACGCTCACCTTCCTGCTACCCACCTGCCTTCAGGAAATTAAAATATAATTTAAAACAAAGAATAAAGGGGATTATCACTTTTTTACTGGTGGCTAAGCACACTTTATTTTTTTCCGTAACCCATTAAATGTTCAGATACTTTGCTTGTATAGTGATATTAAAATGCCAAGGTTGACATACATCAACGCTGTAGCGCTTTTTATGTGCCTGTACCTTTCCGAGTGCTTGTAAATGTTTCTTTTTTAATACAGGTCAGTAAAAAAAAAAAAAAAGGATTTTTTTTTTAATGGTAACTGAATTCAAAGTACTCAGGTTGATGGAGATTAAAGTCTAATAAAAGGAATACTGGGCAAATTGGTGAATAGATTAAAACATAACGTTTTTTTCTATATAGTCGTATACCTCGGCTAATTATAATTTGTGATCTTTGCTACATACTGCTTTAAAATGTAACTCTCATTGAAAAAGCTGCTTCCTGGCCAGCAGTGCTTGGAGCTGGCAGTGCTGAGTAACAACCACACCACTCAGTGCAAGTATCCTCATCAGACTTGTATTACAGCAAATAAGAGTGGGTGCCTGACCATATATGTCAAATTACAGAATGAACCAGGTCTTACTCTGGTGCCTATTGAACTGCACAGTCCTATTATGACTCCCTGCCCAGCTGCCATAACAGAAGATTAGAGGTAAGACTAAGAAAATGGAGGTTGTTAGCACAAGGTATCTGACTGCATATTTATTTCTGTGACTTCGGTTAGGCTGTTAGGCAGAAATAAGTTTACAAATTAGGAAATTGGGAAGACATTTTTTTGCTCTGTTGGAGCAAATTGGACCATGCATTATTACGTTTTTTTTGCCTTCCTTTGGATCAACTGTGGGTGAAGGGCTCTTTCTGAAGATTGTCAATTTATTTACAGGGTTATTCACCAAATAGTGAAGAGTTTGGAGAAGGCAGGAGAAGTGAACAATCTAGGACAACATAGCTGATTTGGAAAAATTCTCCAATTCAGCTCACTTTCCAGTTCAGCTGTCCAAGATTGTCCTAGATTGTTCACTTCTCCTGCCTTCTCCATACCCTTCAACCCCTTTATGACTAACCCTGTTAATGTGTTTCCTGTTGCTTGAACTCGATGGACTTTTTAGACAGCACAGCCAGCCTTGGGAACTGACTTTTCTCAGCTTTAGTTCAGGAACACGATTAGGTCACCTCCCGCCCCCAGCCTGTGACTGGACAGCGAAAGAGCAGCAACAGACTCATAAGGTCCTCTCTCTGCTCTCTCCTCCTGTTCCCCATGGTCCTTGTGTGTGTTGTAAAGTAGTCACTGCTCCAAGCTAGCTCCGGTGATGGAGCACAATCTCAGTACAAATTAGAAAACTAAATGTGAGATTGTAGTCCATCGCAGGAGGGAGGTTGGAGCAGTGGCTACTTTACAACATACACAGGGACTATGGGGAACAAAAGTAGCCCCCCTCCAGAAGGAAGGACAGTGTCAGCACCAATTCAGAGATGATTTGAGGATCTGCAACTGAGTGATACACAAATAACATACATTTTTGTTATTAGTTAAGATACTTGAATACACTTTTAAGGTTTAACTCCTGAGTTTAGTGTCATTTTAACTGTGTTAAAGCTCCACCTTTTATGCTGGTCAATAAGAGTGATTTATGCTCACACTATTGGATGTAGCGTGTCAGCCAATTAAGCAAACAGACTCAACATGTGGTTAGTGAACCAAATCCTAATAACTGTGTGTTGTAGGTGAGTAATTTTAACCCCAGAGACCCGAAGTGATGCCATCTCTTTCCTGCGGTGTTTTACTACTGTCGTTGATAACATTTTCTATACTTTTCTTGCCACTTTCAATGCATAAAATCAGCTTCAATTGTGTAGTTAAGCAGGACTTAATTACATAGGCTTTGTAAAAAAAGCCATTTTAAAGTTACAGAGTGACGCACTTTGCGCCAATTAAAATTATAATGCATCTAAAATCTTTCAGCTACTTATCTGCTCTTTTTGTGTTTATAGAATAGTCTAAAAGATGTTGTAGATTTAGATATTATTATTAGTTTGTTTTTTTATCTGCTTAGGAGATCCAAGCAAACAAAATTCAGTGGCATGAATATGAATTATTCATTGGCTGTTGCTTCTCAAATGGTGAAGTCTTAAAGAGAATTTATAATTGTTTTATTTATTTCAAGACATATGTGAAAATGTAAATAATATTTCCAGCATTAATTTTGTTAAAAGTATTGCGTTTCATTTTAAGAAACGATAGAACTCTTTTTGTTGCCTGTCCTCTTTTATGTCACTCGTAGAATTTAGCATAATAAAAGGCAAAGGGTAACTGACTGAGGGAGTTATTGGTAATAAGGGTCAGTGTTCCCTGTTATAGTTTCTTGATTATGTATATACATGGGGCCTGTCATATTGACTCATTATAAGATTGCTGGATTTCCTGTTCAGCAGAAGAACAGAATTGTAACACCTGAGAAACCTATTTTAATAAAACACAAGGAAAAGATTAGAATGTAGAAATCCAGTGAAAACCGTGGGAGTGCATGTCAGCAAAACTGCCCAACCAAGCTTACTCGCAACCTGAAATACAATATACTTTTAGTAATTGGGCAAGAATGCTGATTTCAATAATATAGACAGGTTGACCCTTTGATAGCTACAGATTACATGACGATCATGTTAAAAATTAGAAAGAATGCTATAATGACAAAACAAAATATATATAAAGAAGTTACATATTACACATATGATGATTTATGAGAATTCTTGTTAAGAGATGCCTTACATATCTGATTCATTTTGGTGCTCTCATTTGTCATCTCACAAATGGATGCCAGATACATCAACTATATCTTTATTTCCAAATGAACAATGATGGGAACATCTACCAATGTGTCATATAGTCCCCCAAGCCAAGAACACTATTATTTTCCTCCATATACTGACACCATATGCCCCGCCTCCAGGATGGCAGTGCACATGTGGAGAACAGGCCAGTGGCAAAACCCGAAATAGCATAAAAATGTGTTTCGTTTAAAGGAGAACTATGGGGTTAGGGCTTTTCCCCATAGTTCTCCTTAGGGTAACGGGAGGACACAAACTAGCGTCCTCCCGTCACCCTAGGATCAGTACTAAGACGCTGCAGCTGAAGCGGATCCCGACAATTATGTCTGGATCCGCCCAGCTGCGTGACTGACAGCTGTCTCTGCCTATCTAGATGCAGAGCCAGCTGTAGCCGCCCCCTCCCCCGTTCGTTCCCGCCAGTCAGCGCTGGCGGAGCGGGGAGGGGGGAATCCAGCCCCTCCCGTGTCACGGCAGAGAGCCGTGACAGGATCGAGAGGTGAGCGAACGCCGGTATGTGTTTGCTCACCTCCCGATCTACTGAGCCGACCTGTGACAGTCTCATTGTCACAGGTCGGCTAGAACTATGAGGTGAGTGAAAAGCACTCACCTCA